GAAGGCGAAATGGACTCCACGATCCGGGAGAGAATTGAAGTACCTCACAATTCTCCTGGACCTACTGGTCGAGAACAAGTCAGCGCAGGCTGCCGACATCATTGCCCAGAGGATCAAGGCTCTGGAGAAAAGCGTGCAAGACAACAACAGTTGGGTGAGGGCACGCTTCCTCGAGCTGGTGGAGCCAGACGACGTAGCACTTCTGGACAGGGGGGAGGAGGCAATGATCCAGAAGGAATTGGAGCGGGAGGAAAAGCTCCGAGGACCATCCGAATGGAAAGGAAAAGGCCATTGGAAGGGCAAAGGGGAGCACGAATTCGGAGCCAAGGGCCAAGGCAAGGGGAAAGGAAAGAGCAAGGAGAAGGGAAAGGGGAAGACGCCGGCCGAGGACGCTGCCGAGAGGAAGTAGATGGTGGCGCCTTGGCAAACCGAATCCCAGCGGAACCCAGTGAACCCCCAGACCCCAGAGGGGAGCTTCAGCGGAAGCGAAAGTCCGAAAAGGATGTTGAGTCGCCCGAAGGTGAAGTGGCATCTTCGGAGGAATATGAAATTGAAGAGGAGGCCTTGAACAGGTTGTGGAAGAAGCATAGACAAAAGTTTGAAAGAAAAATGGCAGGGTTTCTTGCAGAGGAACGGGATGCATTGGAAGTGGCCTGGCATGTGCTGGAAAATGCTGGGCATCTCAGGACAAAGTTTGGCAGGTTTCGGACGACTTTGGGTCAAAAGGCCACAGCCCAAGATGCCCCTGAGGGCCCCGATCTCCTGCCTATCTCGTTAGATGCCCTAGAGCTACGCCGGGACATTCAGTCGGAAGTTCGGGCGTGGGTCATATTGATGGCTTGGGCATTGAACTTCTTGTACTGCACAGGCTGGGAGCAACCACGCCACATGGATCATCCCGGGAAGCTGACTACGGCGCAAACCAAGATGGTTGATCAGCACTTGGTGCCCGCGGTGAGGCGCATGTGCCCGAAGGGATTGAAGATCCCATCTTATCAGAAACTAAAGGAGCAGCTTCAGAAGAAAGGCTACGGTTATGATGGATCTAGTTGGGTGGTGATGGAAGACCTTGCAGCCGACAAAGTGATTCCATGTTGGCCAAACAAGGGGGAAGCTGCCGTTCAGCCCATCACCAAATTTTTACATGGTGACACAAAGGAGATGGTAAACAAACCACTGCTCACCATCCTTCCGGCGGAAGAATGGCCAGAGACGGTACCCCAGTCGTATGTGCGGGCCTCGGATGCCGAGTGGGAGAGGCTCGTGGCAGAGGGGTATCAGCTAGGTCTTTTTCAGCCTTGCCCGGAGGAAGAGATCTTGAGAAGCCCCTCCGGTGAAATGATCCTGAATGGGGCCGGAGCAGTCCCAAAAGAGAAGAATGGCAAGATCTTGCAAAGATTTATATCTATTTTATGTCCATTGAATGCGGTGAGCCGCAAAATTGAAGGAGATGAGTCGACCTTGCCCTATGTGGGCCAGGTGGGGCTTTGTGAATTGGAGGCCGAAGGAGCCATAGTTATAGACAGTGAAGATTTGCAGTCGGCCTTCAATTTGTTTGAGATGCCACGGGGATGGCGTGGCATGTTCGTGTACCGCAAGCAGGTGAGAGGAGGAGTCCTTGGCTTGCCTCACGATGAGATGACATGGGTGTCGCTGAGGACGGTGCCTATGGGATGGCTCTCCGCAGTGGGGATTGTTCAACAAGCCATCAGGACTCTCGCGTTTGAGGAAGCTGGACTCCCTAGACAGTTTGAAATTCAAAAGAACAAGGAGCTCCCTGAGGGAGAACGCTTCTTACTTTACTTGGACTCGGTGGATCAGTTGAGGCCGGTCAGCCAAGCAATGAGAAAGGTAGTGGAAGGACAGGCGAGCCCTGAGCACCAGCGTTTTGAAGAGGCATGCCGGCGGTGCGGATTGCCTACCAATATGAGCAAGCGTTTGGTGGGGGCCCTAAGAGGAACCCTACAGGGGGGACTCCTTGATGGAGAAGCAGGGGTGTTCATGCTGCACCCGGACAAAGGGGCCTTTACAATCGGAGCTTGCATGTGCCTGCTGGGATCCCGGACATGGGAAACTAGAGTGGTGGCAGGGCTCACAGGGCGATTGGTTTTCGCCGGTGCATTTCGAAGGCCAGCCATGTCACTGATGAGCGAGGTGTTCCATTACTTCGGCAGCAAGCCTACATCCAAAGTGGCAAAAGATGATGCCTACGATGAGGTCTTGGTGTGTGGGGTGTGCCGGACAGAGCTCACGGATGAGACAGCCCGTGGAGAAGACTTGGCCTGCCCCGCGATGTGCGGGTGCAAACTTTGCTCTTTGGAGTGCTGCTTGAGGCACGCGCCTTATTGCCCGCATCAAGCGGTAGGAGTTCCATTGTTTTCGGAGAGGTACAGTGGTCCAGAGGCCAGATTGTCGAGAACCATGTTTAAGGCTGGATTCAGAGTGGTTGACCCCATAGATTACAAGTGGGACAGCACTATGGATGTATTCACGGAGAGAGGAAAAGAATGGTGGGCCCATGCCGATGCATCAGACCCAACCCTTGAGCATCACGCTCCGGACAGCAAAACCTTTTCAAGGGCGCGAGGTAGGCCTTATCAGTTTGCCGGAAAATGGTATGAGGGGCCAGTGGCACTGAGGGATGAAAGCCACGTGATGGGGTTCACTTACCTAGCAGCGCATGAGGCAGCAGCGGTGAGGAAAGGAAACAAGATGGCAATGAGATCCATCGCGAGGTGCAGGACCCTCCACGAAGAAGGTCGCTTCTTCACCTTGGATCACCCCCGGCGCTCTTGGATGTGGTATACCAAGCCAGCCATAGACCTGGCAGGTCTTCCAGGAGTGAGGATGGCGATCTTCTCCCATTGCTGTTATGGGGGAAGGCGCAAAAAGTGGACGAGCTTACTGACCAACAGCGAGACCATCTACCAAGCCCTTCACAAGCCTGTTTGCCCCCACGGAGATGGGGAGGATTACCCGCCGTACTGGGATCAGCAGCTTGGCCAGGTGGTGTTCCCAATGGAGCAAGAAGCAACATACCCCTGGGGTTTGTGTGAGGAGTACGCCAAAGCAGCCGTCAACCTCATGAACCTGAGTGAGCACAGGGAAAAAGCCCTTGCCGAAGTACGCAAGGTGAAGATCAGAGAAGACCTCATGAAATATGACCGGCTGCAAAGTCCGGGCTTGCAGGAAAAGGTGGTCAGTGGCATCTTGCATATGGAGAGGACCATGCAAATTGGGTTCGAAAAAGCTCATCTACAGCAACTTCTTCGCCTGGGTCACTATCGTGGCACAGATGTCAGGTTGGCCGTCGAGGAACAGGGAGGACGGCAACTGTTTCCGTACCCAGCCTATAGATGGCTGTGGCGTGACGTGCTGTCATTCAGATGGCGACAGGAAGGGCATATCAATGAGTTGGAATTTCAGGCCTTTTTGGCCCACATTCGCCGAGTGCTGCGGGAGCCTGACATGCGCCACAAAAGGGTGTTTGTGGTCGTGGACAGTCAGGTACTCTACTATGCGCTCGGCAAAGGGCGCTCTCCATCCACTAGACTCAATCGAGTCCTGCGACGTTTGGCGGCTATATCCCTGGCAGGCGACCTGTATACTTTACCGATTTGGACTCTGTCAGCATGGAACTTTGCTGACAGACCTTCCAGACGGTGAGGTGATGCCTAAGGCCCCACAGACACTTCGCTATGCCGGGTTAGCCAAAAAGACAGTTGCAGCCTATCGTCGCGCCCTATCAGCTTTCTTTTCGTATCTTGAAGATGAAGAGATTGAAATGCCCTCAAAGTTTCACCACCTTGATCGCTTGATTGCCCAATATCTGGAGTCCCTATACTTGGACGATACCCCAATTTCTTACGCAGGGCATTTGTTGAGTGCCTTCCGCCGCTTTGTGCCCCAGTCGCGGTTCAAGATCCCTATTGCCAAACAATGGTTCTCAAACTGGACCTCTGAACACGTGCCCAGGCAGGCAATTCCCATGCCAGCCAATGTGGTATTAGCCCTTGCCGGGGCAGCGCTTGAGGTGCGGGAGCATGCGCTTGCCGCTTTGTTGCTTGTTGGGTACAAAGCCCTCCTGCGAACCAGTGAGATGACCTCGCTTAGGTTTGATCATGTCAGCTGGAAACCAGGGGAGCCCAATGTGGTTATCGCAATTCCCTTTTCGAAGACTTCGCCCAAGCGCCCCCAGAGTATCTTGATTCGTGACCCTTGGCTACCTTTTTTACTTAGCTTCGCCTGGGAGCGCTCTGAATCTGCTTTCATGTGGGATGGTTCGACCCCGGCCTTCCGTCAGGCCCTCCGTTTGCTTTTAGATACTCTAAACCTAGCCTCGGTTGGCTTTACTGCTTACAGCATCAGGCGTGGAGGAGCCTCTCACGCATTTGCCCAGGGAGTTTCTTTCGACTCTCTGGTTGAATTGGGGCGGTGGAACAGCGTCAAGACCGCCCGTTTATACTTGGATTCGGGCCGAGCAGCACTTATTCAAATGCACTTTCCACCTCACGTTAACATGCAGCTAGCTACTTTTGTGGCAAAGGCCACTGTTTTTTGCAAGCAACTTCGTCAGGGGCGCAGGCTCAAAATGGTCTTGTGAGTGCCCGCTAAATTGGGTGTGCCAGCAAGGGGAGGTTAGGTGGTTGGGCGATGCCCTTACCAGGCTCCATGGAGCCTGTGGTAAATGTCTCCTATGTCTATAGGGTGAGTGGGATCACCCTGTTTCGGTCAGTCCTCCTGTAGGTAGAGGAATTCGCTGGCACTTTAGCCTTGCTGTGGCCTTTAAAAGGCGCGTTTAAGCTGTGATATATATATATATATACTCGCGGGAACCCCACTCCATGGGCACCGTCAGGGCCTGGGTCATCTACTTCACCAAAGTTGCCAAACTCTTCATAAGGAGCCTCCTTGCTTCCCAAACCAGGCCACCCCGGTCTGGGACGACCGTTTTCCGTTTTGGGACGGTTTTCTGTGGTATGCTGTTGCGCTGTGCTGAGGATCGGAGACCAGACACTTTACCAAGGAGACCTTGCAATCTGCTTCTCCGGAGTTTAGACGCTTGGAACCAGTACAGTCGAACCATGGCGACGATGAGACGAGACGAACTACCGAACTACTTGGGGTCGCAAGCGACCCAAGGCTCCCGTGAGGAAAATTCTGCGGAACCCGCTCTCTTCCGCTTTCACCTGGCCCTTTCTTTGGGGCCCTGGGTTGGAGATGCTGTTTTTAGATGTTTTTAGGCTGTTTAGCGCAGGTTGGTGCAAGGAAAGGTGTTCGTCCTTTGTGAACTGGCACCCTGGTGCTTTGCAGCTGTGATGGCCGGACATATCCGGACATGAACCCAACTGATTTTGCATTCGACACCCCATGGCCCCGAGCAGAGCTGCTCCGAGGCCAACTGAACGAAAGCTGCTGGTCAGCACAGGTCGCCGGACAGTTCCAGCGTTTGAGATGCTCCAAGAGTTAGGAGTTGGAAGAACTATGGAGCATTGAGCACCATTGCCATTTGTTCTAGAGTCTCATGACTCCATGACTATTATATTGTGCGGCATGCTTCTCGTCCGGTAGTTATAACTATGGATTCGCATGGATGGTACGTCATTGTACCCTAGAAGTCGAACCACAAACTATTAAATAGCCTTTGACGAGCCAGGACTTCCAGGGTATAGGCATTAAATAGGGCCTCATGGGCCTCCCTTTGTGTGGACATCAAGCTCCTTTGATGTTTTTGTTCAACGAACGTGATGTCTCAATCAAATACCGAAATAGGGTCAAAGTGTATGTTTGAGATTGTGTTCCTTGCGTTACTGATTTGTTTCATGTTTCTGAAAGTGGGTGTGTTTGGGGCCCTCGGAACGTCGGTCATCATCCGTTCGCTTAAGACTCCTGGGACCAAGTGATGCCCACTAAGCTCCGCCTAGGTTTGCAAGATCAGATTTGGAGCATGATGAGGACTGTGAAAAAGTAGATTCCTTCATGCCAACCGAATTACAGAGCGATTGATGGAACATCATGGAAGCCACAGAGAGTCTCCATGTTCTGGCGGACTTTGGAACAGCAAACGAATGATCTTGCAAAGACGAGGTCTAGAGAAGGGTGTGCGTGTTGGGGCAGCCAATCTACAAACCTTAACACATTAATACAGACGATACATAGTCAAAAAGCAATGTCGAGGAATTTTGTTCTGGGGTGCTGTGTTTGTGGCAGTGTGCAGCTGGTGTGGTAAACACTGTGTTGCATTCTAGCATGATGCCACCGCAGCTGAACAATGTTTTTTGGAGCCAGGACGTTTGACTGCAACTCTTTCTCACACAGCCGGAGCAAGTCTCAGCTGTTCCTTCACTCAAATAGCAGCGGGAAGAAGGAATACGACAGTACGAACTTCACCTTGGCATACCTTTCCTTCTCTATCCTGCCTTTGATCCTGACATGTTGTCCTAGAAGGATGGTCAAGCACTCTTGTGCCCGGCTCGGTGTTGGCTGTGGCAAGTGTGTCCTCGCGGCTTCAGGTAGCCCCGTGTGCAGGCACCCCACATGTACGTGTAAGATGCACAGACCGGCAAGAAGGATAAGAAGGGCGGAGAAGATGGAACAGCAGTTGGCAAATGCGGCAAGCAAACCGTTGTGTATAGTTAGGCGACAACACATGTCGAGATCCCTTACTGGTCCATAGAAAAGGACACGCGCTCCCACCTGATACTTTGGATTCGCCCAAGCGGCATTGGCATGTTCTTCATGCAAAACATCTCGCTTCGAAAGTGAGGCTTTATCCCACCTTGGCGCGGGTGAACCATTCCTGCAGGCGCGCCCAATGAGAGAAGCGGCAGAGCGCAAGTAGCAACCAGATGGACGAAAGGTTCATCGCTGTCATGTTCAGTTAGTTCAGTTGCCTTTGTGGGAGTCTATGTCGGCCTACTACTGCAAAGAATGCGCAACATTAGCCAGCACTACAGTTTGGATGTTTTCAAAGACCCGCCTGACCATACGCTTTCCATCCAATAATCATCCTTTGGGTGGTGCTGGGAGTGCAAGATCAATTTCTCCTCAGAGGGCACATGATGAAACCGACCAAGCCTTGTTGATCACTCTTCCGCAGGCCAAATGCAGTGCTGGGGGATCCCAAGCCAGTTGCTCGGCCAGTTGAGAGGTGGTTTTGGGGACAGCTTGCTGGAAAGCACTTACACTACAGGATCTACTTGGCTGGTGGTTGGGAGCATAAGGAAGCCTGGGGCATCCATCTTCTTCTCAGAAAAGGGAGCTACACGGAAGCTACACGGAGTTCTCTAACCACTGGTCCTGGCCAGGACGCACTGGATCTCGTCATATCTAGTCACTAGTCCTACGATCATGACAACGGAGTCCTGGGGGTTTGGGGGTTCATCCAACACAGGGCACCCAATAACATGGGATGCTGTAGGTTGGTTTTGTCCTATTGCCTGCAACAGTCGGTAAACAAGAACATCACTATGCTTTGTTCCAAAGCCTGCAACTGATCCAGCGGAACACCGTGGACTTGACGGGTAATAGGAGAACGGCGGATGCTTCACCTGGGAGTGCCTAGCCAGGCCGAGCAAGATGCCAAGTTGCACAGCGGATTGGAGCCAGTGGACCTCTTGAAGAAGGCCCACCGCGACCACGTTCTCATGTGGACTGGAGCGCATGTTCACACCGTTTCGGCGGAGAGTGGGGGGACCCCATGACTCGTGGTAGGTGAAGAACCAGTTCTGATTCACCGCTCGTTGAAAATACAGAGATTAGAGACAAGAAGTTGACCGATCTACCAATTCGTGCTTCGAGTTCTTTACTTCCCTGCCTTCAGAGTCTTGGATCCACACAGCCGCAACTTGGGCATAGGAAGTCTTGAGCATTGCCAATGTGCGGGGCCGGTTCTCACAGCTACCCACTCATTTGTCATCCTTTGGCGGCCCTCAAATTCAGAGGTGCTTGAGGTTGCTTGGTCCTGCCTACCCAGTCAGTGGATAGCCTTTAACATCCATTCACCCTTTTTGGCCCTCACTGACAACCAGGTGGAAAGAGTTCGGCCTTATCATTTGACCCTGAACTCAGGAGTTTGGGAGTTGGTAGTGGCTTCGAGTCACTGGTGCCGATGCCCCCACACAAAAAGAGGTACTCACCAGTGTGCTCATCGTTCTTTGGCGGCCATGAAGCGTCACCGTCACAGGCATTGATTGCCATCGAGGAGATTCCCGAAGGCGCGGAGCTCGAATCTGTGGGAGGAAGGCCTTGTGGTCACGGTGACCACGGTGACCCTCAAGTGACCTGAGGGAGTTCGAACATGAAAACCACCAGAGCTGGCTGCACGGTCCCACGGGCGCACCCACGGTCGAGACGTGGCTACCGAAGCATTGCGAAATGCTTTGGCAGGCGAAGAGATCACCGTCAGCTACTTGAGTCACCTTGCTGCAGGGCGGTGGTGGTGCCCGGAACGTGGAGTTTTCCCAAGCTCATGGCACCCCTTCAGGCTGGAGGTTGTTGTGGAACAGAGGCTCAATATCTTAAGGTCTATATAACTCCCCCACACCAACTCACACCCAAACTGCCTTGTGCATCTCTCTACGTCCAGCACCCAACGTTGCACAGCTGTCATCTCATTTTACCTTATTTATCCTTATTCCCTCATCCAAAACCTCCTTGTAAACCTCCATCTCCAGACCTTGTCAACCTCCAGACGCCATGTAGTTTCATGGTCCTGCGTTTCTTCCACTCTTCCATGGAGTCTTGGGAAGCTCCTTCCCCAACCCTTGCCGTGAACACTGCCTCGGCCTGCCCTTGGACCCCGCGGGACCCCGCAGTGACTCGTCCCCAGGCGAGGAGGACCTCCTCGAGCCTCGACCACAGCGTCGCCAGCGGCTGATGGATGGTTCGGAGCTTAGACAGTGGGACTGGGCCGACGACGTGGAGCGGCGAACGATGCGCTTTTTGCCATGCTGAGCCCCAACGCTGAGCCATGCTGAGCCCCAGTGAAAGATGGATGGGAATGGTTCCACGGTGAGGACGGAGAGGTGTCAAGATGGACATATCAAGACTCAGGAAAAAAGACGTTTTCGATGGACGACTTCAGTCCAAGTCCATGAGCTAGATTGTCCAGAACCACCCACCCGCGGATAGCTCACCACATGCTCACCGCATAGTTCTCATGCTCTGCATCTCTTTGAAGGCTTTGGCTTCGAATGCTTCTGCAGCCGTTGCCTTGATGAGGCCAGATCGAGGCATCGGAGAATCCTACATAGTACATCATAGTACTACGAAAGGGTGGTTCCCACTACAGTGGGCCATCAGAGGTTCGATGGCACAGACCCCAAGGTGTCCTAGACAGATGGGGGTCCAGTCCTAAACCACCGACCTTGGATCCTCTTGGGGTCTGTGCCATTGGTCCTCTCAATCCACTATAAATGCCCTGCGACATGGATGTCGAATCTGACCGCTGGCGGTCTGACCATCCCGACCGGTGAGTGAAGAGTAGCACCTGCACCTGCCGTTGGGATGCATGTTTCGCCATGCCATACAGATAGGAAACCTAGGATGCTGATGGATTTGTTACTATAATTTAAAGATCTATGCTTTGATCATGCGAGTTTGGCTCGATCTCCTTATAAGAGTCCTTATAAGCCTCAAGCTATTTGCACGAGTTGTGAGCTCTTCCAAGTCAACACAAGTGAGTATCGTGCTGTGATAGTCTCGTGCTGTGTCCATGTGTTTCTGTTAGAACTTCTTCCTGCCAATATAAAATCCATAAATGCATATAAATGCACTGCCACCACACTGGGCAAATCCATTCGCCTCCTTCGCGGCACCGGGACCGTTCGCAGGACGCGGACCGTGTCCTGCGGACCTTCCGAAGCGCTGAGGGGGAGGGCTCGACAGGTGGGGGAGAAGTGAAGCCGAGCGTGTTGACAGAAACCCAATGAGTATGAAACTACCACGCGAAGAAAAGAGATCATCAGAGTAAAGTATGGTTCATCTCATTTTTGTTTTAAACATCAGTTGCTCTGAATAGAACCGCCCTACCAGACTCTCAGAATGGTTGTACATCTCGATGATTATGGGGATTGTGTAGTGGTTTTGGTTGATCTGTCAACCACCATGAATCATCGAGCACCACCTCACTCACTTGACGGGCCTGTCGTAACCTGTGCAGCGCCACGGGTTTGGGCTTTCGGTCAAGACCGGGGGGAGCAGCGCATCGGCCATCGTCCACGGCGTCGAGGCTCCGCAGCAATTCAGAGTTTCAGACGTGGCGCCTGAAATCGCTGAAACCGGTACAGCTTTTTCCCAAGATCAGCCATGCCGGGGCGCCTGGCGCTACTTGCGCTTTGCTGGCCTTGCTTAGTCATGGGCATCGCTCCGAATTTCCCCGTGGCAGACGTGGAGACGCACAGCGTCGTTCTAAAGAGCGCGAAGATGTCACTGCAGAAGGGTCGGGTCCGAGCCCGGCCTGCACAGGGTTGGGACTTGGGACTTGGGGCCCGGGCCCGGCATGGCGTGGCAGCTGTAGTGGTGAGTTCAGCTCTCTTTGAGAAACTTGAAGTTGGAAGTGGGCATTGCGGCCTTGCTTCTGAGAACATTGACCCGACTCAAGCAAATGAAAGGGAGGTGTTGTTCTTTCGGCGCTTAGCGCTTGATTGGCATGGGGTTCACAAGGCTGCAAGTCACCCTGGAACTTTGAGAAACTCTGTGAAGTACTCAGCTGAACTCAAAAACTACTCCCCACTGAACTCCCCAAAATGCGTAGTATAGTCATGTATAGACATGTATAGACTATGTCTCCTCAAGAGCTGAACTGCACTCTCAGCTGAGGAGATGCAGTGGCATGGGGGAGCTTCACAGACGTCATCGACAAGACCGGCTGGGCTGTGCTAGACATTCACACGGCGAGCGGGAGGGCAGGAGCTGCCGGAAATTTTTGAGGACGTGGCTGGTAGCAAAGGACCCAAGACGAGGAGACTCCTTGATGTCAGTTTAAGTTTGAGGTGTTTGCCAGTAAACCCCAACCCCGCAAAAACCCTGCCAGTCCTGTTTGATTTGTTTTGATCCTGCATGCTTGAGTTGGCAACTTGAGTTCCTATATATTTTGCCCGGGGGTCCGGCTGTTCGGCGCCATGCTGATAAGAACATTAAGCCTTCTTAAGATTCTGCCACACGCAACCCCCCCCCCAGGATTTTGCATGTAACTGATGAGCAAAAAGCAGAGTATGAGGAACACCTGCACTCTTGCGGACGATTGGAATGAGTGTGGGGTTGCAAACTATCAACATGGTATATCACGATATACACTCTGACCCCGTAACATGGAAGTGGACCATTGCGCATGGAAGACGGCTTTGCTTTAAGACAGTGGGTGTTCCACTTCGTGATGCATTCGCTGGAGGGTCGACGGCAATTTTTTGGCAGAACAGGACACAGCGACTCTGCTGGTCCCACTTATATAATTACAAGAAAGATCAAAAAAGCAATAAAGACGATATAACTGCAGGTGATTCCCCAGGCAAGAAGTTGACAAACACGACCAGTTTAGTCGTGATTCCACCAGCATCCAGATCACCTTCAGCCACCCTTCGCTCCGTCAGCCCCGCCCCTTCGGCCACGTGGGCGACACAGCAGGCCCCTTCGGCCAACGGCGACACTCAGAGCTACGCCGCAGGATTTCTCGAAGGAGCGGATGGGTTGGGGCGCGCACGGGCCAGGTGAGGCCAAGGTCATATGATCGTCATATCAAGTGTTGTAGCGAAGGTGGTACGAAAGCTGCGGAGAAAGAAAACTTATTATGTAAATCCAGTGTTATTGAAAGAAACAAGTTCTTTTACATGGGGTGTTGTCCCACCTTCTGCCTGCAAAAGTTTGGTTTGATTGGGGGTTGTGTTGTGCAGGAGCTTTGACACACAAGAGGATCACACAACACTTGCAGAATATGCCGTTTGGCCTGCATGAAGTGCTTTCCAAGAGTTTTGTCGCGGAAGCACATCCATGAGTTGTCCCCATCACAAAATGTTGGGAGATGCTTTTACGCTTTTAGCTAGCTTAGCTAGCTCTTGCCAATCCAGGATCTCCCTCCATTGGGGGAAAAACATGTCGGACACATGGCGGACACGACCCCACGCATACCCTCATGCTTGTGTTTTGGCTGAGGTGGGGCGTGGATTTCAAAGGATATGCTGCAGGCCGGCCTGTGTCCAGACCCTGAGAGGCGTTCCACGTTCCAGGTGGTGACCACACTCACAAGAATCAACCGGTCATGGTCGGAATGTAGACTCTTGATGATATTTCACCCTCCCATATGGAGAAGTGTTCCAATTCAAACATAGAGGTGGGTTTATCATCTTAAGAGTCTACATGAAAAGAGGGAAATCCGTTCTTAGCGCCGCAGCGACCGCGTGCGTCCAGCGACGTCCGAAGTGCTCGTTTTGCAGGGCTCGAGTGGTAGCACTCCATGTGAACCCAAGGACTTTTGACTACAACACGAGGTAAACCCTTTTGCTCTTTAACTTGTCTTTGAGGGCTGTAGGCTCTAAGGGTTTGCACCTCCATAGGCTCTCAGGGGTGTGAAGGATCAGTCATCCTCGAGTCCCTACCAGTCACACCAGAGCCGACAGGCACGGTGCCGGAGAAGATTCGGGACTTCGTGAGTGCAAACATGGACTGGATGGTCAGCAAGGCAGATGGGCTTCGTGGCAGATGGGCCTGTGATTCGAGTGATTCGGAAGGGACGTCGGAGGACTTTCCCCAACCGCCTCCGGTGGAGTTGGGGATGGTCCTCCTACAGCGTCACTACTAGCATACCGGAAAGACCTCTAGACGCCAATGCTTGTTTGAGCAGCCTTCGCTGATTGTTTGCATGTCTACCAATCCCAGAGTCTGTGTAAGAAACTTGGAAGCTGTGAATTGGAATCGCACGTCCGACAGTAGCGTTTCACCAAAAAGAAGCGCGCATGTGTTTCCCGCAATACATGGGGGTGTCAACACAGCCGGTGGTTAAGCAAGTTGGTTTGGATACAGAGAATGCTCCTGCATAGGTCTTTGCAGAACATACCCGGTCAGTGGATAGATAGCCTTTAACCTTTTTGGGGGAGTGCTTTCCCCACTAAACAAGAAGAGGCTGAAAAAGGGTAACCTTTATTTTCCAGGGAAACTGAAGGAGTCAGAGAAGGAGACAAACCAAGGTTTGGCCTGCCAGTGCCAGCATCCCGCGTATCGGGTCGTGGTGGCATGTGTTTGAAGACCTGAGACGTTTCGATTGGAACATTGTTCTCACAGCTAGGTCTAGAATCAGAGTGTTCAGAAGTGAGAACACTCTGGTCTCACGAATCCATTCTCACTCTTTAGTACTCGCGCAGCTAGGTCATGATGAATGGAATGGAGCCTCGGAAGTGCATTCCATGTTTCACCATGTTTCGCCCTGCGGTCAGGTGAAGGAAAACCCTTCTGACAGTCACTTGGAGCAATTAACGTGTAATTCAGCTGGAATGGATTTACAGAGTTGGGTGCCAAAAATCTCAAGCTCGCGTACGGAGTTGGTACTCATGCCTTCTATCTTATTATGATTCAGTCTCAAATGTGATCATTTTTCAACATCAATGTGGGAGCTCCCCTTGCATTTCTGTTTGCAAACAGTCAGTCAGCAACAGTCCCCAAGTGCAACCAGCCACAGTTGACCCAAACTGCCTGGTTCGACTGGCAGACGGTTTTGTGAAGATGAGCAAAGCACATGGAAAGCGTCTGACATATGCTCAACAGCTGATTACGAAGCTCCTCCAGCCGCAGCAACACATCGATGAAGGCTGTGGTAGTGGGTGGGGCACAACAGCCCTCAAAAGTCTTCTCTGGCTTGGGGAAAGCTGTCGCTGCCCGCATTGGTGGCTTCCAAGGGCTTGCCGTTGGCCTTTGTTGCCGCCCACCCGTCCGTTTCAGTGCTTCAACCCCTCCGTGGTACGCCCGTGGTGAAGTTCCTTTTGGAAGGGTTCCTCATCAGCCAGTGGTCCTGATGTGAACGATCCGGAATCCTCTATGATGTGCACCGTTTTGCAACTCCTGCGTTTGAAAGATGTTGAAGCATGTTGAAACAGCGCTTTCTTGTTAAAAGATGCGATGTTTATGCCAAGAATCTGAACTCTGTGATCGGTGTGGCGTCTGTCCACATCCGACCCCCAAGGCTATTGGCAGACCATCGGTTACCTGTTGGCGCAGCTTCATGGCTTGGCGGATGGATATGAGGCGGCGCGCGATGCCGATGGCAGCTTGGCCGAACCGGATGCCTTTGGAATGAGTGAGGTTAGGAGAAGTTGGTGACGTGTTTGTTACTAACACATCGCTAGTTGTTGTCTAATTATACTGGCATACTGAAACTAACATGATAATGTTCCCAACCACCTCAGCCAATGCCTTTTCTTTATTTAGTTTTGTTTATGGTGAGTGAGTAGCTTGAGGAACCTTTGTCCAGGTGGGCTAGCAACTGTGACAACTTGCTTGTAGGGACTGCGACGGTTTGGACGGAGTTGTCGATGCCCCTTTCAGCCTGGTTTGGGAAATGATGGTCCACAAATGTGTCTCTTTTTTTACCCTGTAGCTAAGGTTTGGTGAGTGGTGTGTGTTTTTTTAAAACTATGTTGCAGTTTTTCACCAGCTAAGTGAGTTTGGTAAAGAACGGCAGACCAGTTCGTCCAAGTTCTTCAGTCATCTTCAGTCCAAGCTGCACATGCCAAGGATATAATGGCTTGCCATTGACCGTGGAAGAGACTTGCTGGAAATCTTGGTTGGGTAAGCTTCAGGTCCAGGTTGTTTCGCACCAGTCGCAGGGTGCCATTGGGGAAGACTGTATTTGGGGATTGTGGTGGCATGTAAATGTAAATGGTCAGTCAAGATGTCTATGA